TGTGGGAAGGGACAGCCCAGTTGTCCATTTAAAAGTGGGCAAGCGCTGGCTGGTGCCTACAAGGAATGCCCAATTCCCTCAGTTGTCAGCCTCCTTCACTCTCAGAAGTGATTCCCCCTGCCTGTGCAAACTGGCATGAATCACAGAAGGCATATGAGCAGACGAAGGTAGGAGGAAATGAAGGGTGGGGGGGAAGAAGACTGGATGACCTCTAAATGTTGCTTACAACCCTACTTTTTTATGATTCAGATTTGCAGCAGCACTTGGGATGTTTAAATGTCCCTGTTTATTATATTTTCCCAGAGCTGTAGTTAATGCCATTCCCAGCAGTAATATATGATCGCCATTCCATTTTCCCGGGAGATTGCAAGGGAAGGTTTGAACAACTAGCAGACCTTGATTTGTCCTTCTTTGCCTGGGTGATGACACAGCAAGCGTATGCCTTAAAGTTCACTCAACATGCAGAACATGAGCAGCACATACTTCTTGTTTTCCAGAATTTCATCGAGAACGAGAGGGATAGCCTTGAAAACTAAGGAGCACAATAACAATTCACACATTCAAGAAGGAGGAATCTCCACTTCTCTCATTTGTAGTACCTTGGTGGCCCACACGTACCTATTTCAGATGACAAGAGCATAGGATGATAATCTGCTACATTAAAGAAATTCTTAAGAGATCCTTGTACATTATTCTTGCAAAAGAATGGCTGTAAAAGCCAGTTCATTTTTTCATGTTTGACAGTGACACTGGTAAGAGACAAAAAGGAGTTAGTTTGCTCATCTTTTAGTTTATGTAAGTTTATGGAGAGGTCAGTTTAACTGGTGAATGCTTTTTGCTGAGCTCCTTTCAGTTCCATCTGATGTGGAAGAAAAGGGCCCATATAGATCATCTGCAAGAAATAAACATAATACATTTGATGCAGAATTTTCTCTGTTATTTCAGCTAAGCCTGAGGGCAGTCATTCACATAGCATGATACTCAGCAGTTGAACAAAGGGTACTGAAAAATACTGAAAATAAGCACAGAAGGTGATTCTTTTTAAATACGCAACATGAAATCATGTTGCCATGGGTAATGCAATCCTTGTTGCAACTTCTGTTTCAACTTCTGAGACTGTCCAAATTTAGTCCCTTCTCTTCCCCTCTCTATCTCTTTCTGCAGAGATTCTGACCACCACTGAAATCATCTCGGAAGAGATAATCAAGTATCAGTTGCTTAATTCTTCTGAGGGCTAAGGCTGACCCACGCAGCAGGCAAGCTTCCCCTCAGCCACTGCAAGCCACGGGAACGAGGGAGAAAAACAGCTCAAAATAAAAAAGACTCAAGCTGGCAAGTCTCAATTATTTGGAGATGGAGGATTATCTAAGCTCCCACTCTGAAAAATAAAAAAAATACATACGTATACACACACGTAAGATACTGCTAGCCTACAAACACACAGACCCTTGAAGAAAGACTGTGTTTCCTTCCAGGAGTATTTCTTAGCCTGGTAAAAGTCCCTCCCTACAAATCTTGGTTTAGGCCACCTTGGCTATAGCAGCATTATTATTTTAAAAAACAAAGGCAAAATAAAAAAGCAAAAACAAAACACCAAAAAACCCACTACCATAAAAAAAAAAAAAAAAGAAAAACCACTGTGTACTTTCATGACTTTATACCACACTTTTCCTCATTTTTCAGTGATAATGATACCACAGGAAGGCCTTAGAGCTTCATGCAAGTATATTTAGTATTATACTTTCAGGGGGATAAAGACGTCACTGCGCTGAAGAAACGAGTCTTAACAAGGTAGCGGGACAAAGGCACTCACTACGATGGGGCTGGATTTCCTATTCATTTTATTTATTTCTAAACAAGCAAGGAGCAGTACCGGCCCGATCCCCCTCAGGCGCCCGAACTGCCCACCCGACCGTAAGCGCGGGAACGCCGCGCCCGACCCCGCGCGGCCGCACAGCGCCCCCTG